ATCTTTCCCCCAGTTTTGGTTTGTGCTTGCTTGCTGCTTCTTGGTTTGTGCTTGCTTCTTCTTCTTCTTCTTCTTCTTCTTCTTCTTCTTCTTCTTCTTCTTCTTCTTCTTCTTCTTTTTCTTTCTTCTTCTTTCTTCTTCTTCTTCTTCTTCTTCTTCTCCTCCTCCTTCTCCTCCTCCTCCTCCTCCCCTCCCCCTCCTCCCCCTCCTCCCCCTCCTCCTCCTCCTCCCCTCCTCCTCCTCCTCCCCTTCTCCCCTTCTCCTCCTCCCCTTCTCCTCCTCCCCTTCTCCTTCTTCTCCTTCTTCTCCTTCTTCTCCTTCCCCTTCCCCTCCTCCTCCTCCTCCTCCTCCTTCTTCTTCTTTTTTTGACACAGGGTCTTATGATGTAGCTCTAACTGGCCTGGAACTCAGAGTTCTGTGTGCATCTCTCTTGCAAGTGCTGGAATCAAAGACATGCACCAATGTGCCCAGCTATGTTTTCAGTTGGATTGTATCTTCCCCTTTAAGAGCAAAAGTGTGTTATTTTATATATTTATCCCTTTTCTTGCCTAGAGTAGATGATCTATGCATGAACTTTCATTTTTGAATTTAGAAAACAGGTATGACACTGTCTCATTCATTCATAGGATATGTGTATATATGTCCTGCATAATCTTAGATGGAGTGGCAAAATAGACTCCATTTTCACTTGCAGAACACTTATAGAACTCCTCCCTTGAACCAGGCCTTACGGTCGCTTCTGATACTGACATGATCAGGAGACTAAATAGTCAGAAGGCTGCCATGCGAACTACTAGCCAGTGGGTGCTGTGTGCTCTCCTGTCCCAGACAATTTTCTTTGTAATCAAGGCTCTGCATAAGACATCAGATTCATGGAACACTAATGTTACCAGGCCGCCCAGCTTCCAGCAACCTACAGACTCAGGAAGGTGGCCTGTTTGGTCTTGCCGTCCACTAGGGAAGTCCTAGTTCTCTGGAAATCAGACCTTCCACAAGACGCCTCTTGCTCTGAAAGTCCAAACCTTGTTGGTTTTGGATTCCATGCGGAAACCAGGAAAGTGAGGTGTTTTCTTTTGTTTTTGGTTTTGGTGGTTGTGATGGAGCCCAGGCCCTTGCAAGTACTTCCCTGCTAACCACACTCCAAGTCCGGAGTGTTGTTTAGTCTCTGAAAATTGCTTACAGTTTGAGGATGTGGATTGATTGGTAGACTGCTTGTTTAGCATAAAACTCTGGATTTGATCCCCAGTACAGCTTTAGGGGGACAGAGATCAATCACTATTTGTTACACTCCTATAATTCTGGGTAGGAAAAGGAGGATCAGAAGTTCAAGGTCGTCCTTGGCTACATAGTGAGTTTGAAGTTATCTAGGCTACAAGAGATCCTATCTAAGAAAGAAAGGGGGAGGGAGAGAAAGACAGACAGAGGGACAGAGAGAGGTGGGTCTTTTTGGTGTTCACTTTGGTTATCAGCCCTGACCTCTGGTGACTTCTTGCGGGGCCCCCCCACCCAACAGGAACAGTCAGTCTTGATGGCCACGACATTCGTCAGCTAAACCCCGTCTGGCTGAGATCTAAGATTGGGACAGTCAGTCAGGTAAGAAGACAGGCTTCCCTTGCGTCTCACTTTTGTTGAAACTGCTTTTCCTGTCCTTTCTTTCTTTCCTGGGTCCTGGCTGTGATGGAACTCTGTGATCTCGAACTCAGAGATCCGCTTAACTCTGCCTCCTAAGTGCTGGGCTTAAAGACATGCCCATCTTCCTTTGCTTCTTTCGGTCTCATGTTTCTCAGGAAAGGAACCGAGACTTCTGGATGGATCACACGGGTCCACAAACTAAATGCGGCTATGTCCCGAAGACTCAAAACACTTCATCAGTTGAAGTGTTGACTTTTTATTAAGAACTGAGGCTGGTGCTCCCTTGCAGCGTAGAGGGTCTAGAGGGAGGAGAGTCTCAGGCTCTCGCTGTTCTTCCCAATTCCCCGTGCGTGGGCATGGGAATCAAGCGTGCTTTCTTTTCGTGAAGCTGCTTGCTCAGGACTGCGTGGAGCAACAAAACTCTATCACAGCCAGTTTCTCGCACCACTGTGCACCCTGTAGTAACTCTCACACCTTCCGTTCCTGCACTCTTGGGGGGATCCCTCTTGTGCTAGGTTGGATGGTGCAGCCATGGGCGCTGACTAGATACCCATGTGTGGATGTGCATCACGAGGGCAGAGGAGAGACTAGAGGCAGGTGTGCTTCCCAGGGCTCTGTCAGAATGCTGCGGTCATGTCTGGTTGTATGTCAGAAAGCATGGATGACCATGGGCCCTTTATCTGTAATGGATGGTAGACAGTTGGCTTTGAGCCTTCCAGGCCTTGCTAGCCCTAAAGGAGGGACTGAGATTGACAGGGCTGTCATGGGTCGGCAGTTGTGGGCACCCATCTTGGGGTCTCCTTTCCACAGTGTGGTGAAGACAGCAAATCAAGTTGGTTTTGTTCATGGTAAATTGATACCTTTTATTTTTTTTAAAGTTGCATTATTTGTTTGTGTATATGTGTGTGTGCACATGCCATGGTGTGCACATGGAGGTCAGATGACAACTTAGGGGATTTGGTTTTCTCCTTTCACTGTCTAAGTTCAAGGAATGAGCTCATTGAACTCAGGTTGTCAGACTTAACAATGAGCACCTTTATTTTCTGAGACATTTTGCCAGCCCCTAAACTGGAGCTTTTAAAATTAACAAGGTCAAGATAAAAAACACTCCAGTTTATGCTGAAGACGATGTGGGCTAAAGGGAACACTCCTGCATTGCTGATGGGAGTGCAAACTGGTACAACCCCTGTGGCTATCAGTGTGGTGATTTCTCAGAAAATTACCTCAAGATCCAGCAATATGCTGTTAGGTATATACCCAAAGGATGCTCAATCATACCACAAGGACATGTGCTCAACTATGTTCATAGCAGCATTGTTTATCATAGCCAGAACCTGGAAACAACTAGATGCCCCTCAACTGAAGAGTGGATAAAGAAAATGTGGTACATTTACACAATGGAGTACTACACAGTGGAAAAAAATAATGGCATCTTGAAATTTGTATGCAGATGAATGGATCTAGAAAAAGAAAACATATTGAGTGAGGTAACTCAGACCCAGAAAGACAAATCTAATATGTACTCAGTCATAAGTACTTCTAAACATAAAGCAAAGAAAAAGTCAACCTACAGTCCACAACCCCAGAGAACCTAGCCAACATAGAGAACCCTAAGAGATGTATACATGTATCTACCTAGGAAGGAGAAAAAACCAAAAATAAGATCTCCTAAGTAAATTGGAAGAGAGTAGAAAGGGAGGGGGAGGGAGGGGAGTGAAGAAAAATGTATAGCTCAATAAAAACAATAAAAAAGAAAACAAAAAATAAAATTAAGAACACATAAGATAATTGAAAAAACTGAAATAAAATTGGCTAGGTAAGGCTGTAGAAGACCAGGACCTCCAGGCAGAGCCCTTGTTCTGGGACCGTGTATCTCTCTTGGCTGAGGCCTGTCCTCAACTCCTTGGTACCCGTGGTGCCTACCTGGAATTTCCGACAAATGTGCTGTGTTTCCAATTCTAGGAGCCAGTCCTGTTTTCCTGCTCTGTCGCAGAGAACATTGCCTATGGTGCTGACAACCCGTCCTCAGTCACAGCCCAGCAGGTGGAGCGGGCAGCAGAGGTGGCCAATGCTGCAGAATTCATCCGTCGCTTCCCACAGGGCTTCAGCACTGTGGTCGGGGAGAAGGGCATCCTTCTATCTGGTATGTGGTTCTTGAGTCTCATTTGTTGGCTCACTCCTGCCAGGTGTGTAATTGCCCTGCTGTGTAACAGAAGCAAGAAATCCTTGCCTGGTTCCCAATACACTGTCCGTCCGTCCATCTGTCCGTCTGTCCTTTCTTCCTTCTTTCCTTCCTCCTCCCTCCCTCCTTCCCTCCCTTCCTTTCTCTTCCTTCTTCCCTTCCTTTGTTTTTCTTTACTAAAGATTTATTTATTATGTATTCAGTGTTCCTCCTGCATGTATACCTGCTAGAAGAGGGCACCAGATCTCATTACAGATGGTTGTGAGCCACCATGTGGTTACTGGGAATTGAACTCAGGACCTCCGGAAGAGCAGCCAGTGCTTTTAACCCCTGAGCCATCCATCTCTCCAGCCCAGTGTCAATTCTAGACGAACATAGGAAAATCCCTTCATCCTTTCTGAAAGGATGTGTTTCCTCCCTTTCTGCCCAGAACTCTCTGGGACTGCTGCATAGGACTGCTGTGTGGTACCCAGTGACAGCCTTTGTTCCCTCTGAGAAGAGATGTGCTGTGCGGCCTGGGGCTCTAGGGAAATACAGAATAGGAGCCGTGGCAAGGTGGTCGATGATGACCTGCCCGAGGAAAGGAGACTATCCCAAAGAAACCAAGTATCAAAAGTTGTCTTAGTTATTGTTAAGTTTCTGTGAAGAGATACCATGACCAAGACAACTTTTATAAAAAGAAAACATTTAATTATTGGCTTGCTTACAGTTTCAGAGGGAAATAACATTATCATCATGGTAGATAGCATGGTGCTGGAAACGTAGCTGAGAACTTTGCATCTTGAGTCAACGCTTTTGAAACCTCAAAGCTTACCCCCAGCAATACTCCTCCAACAAGGACACAGCTCTTAATCCTTCTAATCCTTCTCAGACACTCCCTGGCAATGAAGCATTCAAATATATGAGTCAGTGAGGATCATTTATATTCATATCACCACAAAAATGTTGTTATTTTCCAGTGTGGACCAGGGACCAATGAATTTTCCAGAAAGAACAAGGAGTGAACTCCTTAGTGGACCATCTATCTTCTGTGTCAACTATAATCCCTTAAGACTGAGGGTGTAGCTTAGAGCAAGAGTGCTTGGCTAGCATGCACAAAGACCCGGGTTCAATTCTCAGCAACACAGGAAAAAACAAAGCAGAAAATATATATGATCCCCTTTCTTTCCTTCCTTCCTTCCTTCCTTCCTTCCTTCCTTCCTTCCTTCCTTCCTTCCTTCCTTCCTTCCTTCCTTGCTGTTTCTTTCTTTTCATCTTCAATTCCAGCAGACAACTGTGCCTTGTGGGTACCACATTCTTCAGGGAAAGGGAAGCTTGTTCTGACTTGTAGAATGTGAAGTAGGACCTGTAGTGGAGTTAAAGGGAAGCACATTTTTGGTTAGACACAAACTTTTTTTCAGTGCAAATGCTAAAATGTGTTTCTTCTTGAGGTTCTGAGCTCCCATTCTCTAAGGAGTCTCGTGGTTAGACCAGACAATGGTCCTTTCTAGTTCTGAGATTAGATCACAGAGGATTAATGAAACAAAAAGATGGTGATAATTTTGCATGATTAAAATAAGAAGCAGGAGGAAGATATTCTGGTGTTTTGGATGAACATCATGGGAGATTAATCATAGTGGGGTTCATCTTTCAAGCAGGATCCCTGTTCTCTTGGAATGATTTCTGTATATTTTTACATCTTAACAGTATTCTTGTGCTTCAGTTTGCAGTCAAGGAAGCTACAGGTCCTTCCATCTTTTTGTTTTTAGGCACAATCTCACAGTATACTCTAGGTTGGCACAGAATGTTTAATCTTCCTGTCTCACCCTCCAAAGTGCAAGAACTATAGGTATATACCACCACACCCAACACCTTTGCAGTTTGAAAGGAATAGACAATTATAGGTTTTTAGTATATTAGTTGATGTTGAGGACAACATTTGAAGAGGCCATTAGTGTTTACTCTAGGATCTTACCCCAGGATGCTCCAAAGACTACGCTGGGGCACTCAGCTACTTACTTCAGAGGGCCAGGAGGGGGGGTTTCCTTGCGTCCCACGATGGCTCCATGCGAGTTTGGTACCTCAGCATCTGTGGAACATGGTGATCACCTGGATGAATGGCATGCTACCTAGCATCGCCATGAATGAAGATGTCCCATTCACAGTCAACTTGAAAGGAGTGCTGTAGCACCTGAAGTAGAACTGGGCTCCATTAGACAGCCCACATCAGGAGGTGTGAGCCTCTGGGAGTTCTGGCTGCTGGAAAGTGGAGTCCTCAAGGGAAAGAGCCAGATGCAAGGCAGATGGCTAGATTGCTTCTTTCAGACCTGCATCTTTTTTTTTTTTTTGAGACAGGGTTTCTCTATCTTTGGAGCCTGTCCTGGAACTAGCTCTTGTAGACCAAGCTGGCCTCGAATTCACAAAGATCCGCCTGCCTCTGCCTCGAGTGCTGGGATTAAAGGCGTGCACCACCACCGCCTGGCTCAGGCCTGCATCTTAACGTTCCCCCTGTTCCTAGAGTGGATTCCCTGTTTGGTAACCTCCAGCTTCACGTACACATAGAACCGCTGTGGGGCAGGGAAGCAGGCTACCACAGGACTGAGGCCGTGTGCCAACACAGAACAATGGAGGCGTGCACCCAACATCAGAGTTCCAAGTTCCCACAGTGTGCTGGCCATCGTATTAGGAGGAATGTGTGAGTAAAGGCTCTTCCATTGCCAGCTGTGAGCCATTTCACACCGTGCCTCCGGTTTTTCTGTGGCATGTTTAGTTGTTTTATTGCTGTTTTGTTTTTGAGACAGGGTCTCACTCTGCAGCCCCGGCTGACCCCAAAATCACTCTGTATACCAGGCAGGCCTTGAACTTGCCTTCTAAGTGCTAGGATTAAAGGTTTGTGCCACATGCCTAGCTGTGCCTCAGTTTTTACCTCTAAAACTGAAAGTAATTATAGGGTCTGCCTCCAAGAATGATTGTTATAGATTAATATGCCAAATGCATTTAGAAAATATCTTCTGTGAAGGGAATCTCAGTATATATTAACTATGGTAATTGCTTGGTTTTTTGTTTGTTTGTTTAATACGACAGTACATTTAGAAAACAAACTTCTGTTGTAATGCCTATCAGTTGTGGTTAAATCAAAGTTATCTTCAAATTGTCCCTTGTCTCATTGGAAAATTTGCTAAGACTTTTGTTAAGCTTACCTTTACCATTTGTTTCTGTCAGGTGGGCAGAAACAAAGGATCGCAATAGCCAGGGCCCTGCTGAAGGTAAGAACTCTGACTACTGATGACTCAGCAGTTCCTGCTTTTTTTTTTTTTTTTTTTTTTTTTTTGTGTGTGTGTGTGTGTGTGTGTTATGGCTGACAGTGTGGTAAAAAGGTAAGTTGGGAGTTCTACTGAGGAGTCATTGTCCAAGTATTTGTCATATTTGAGAAATTTCTCAAGAGTCCAGTGCTAAAGGAGTTCAGCATGGGGAGGAACTTAGCAAATGGACCTTTTACCTAGAAGAATCAATTGACCAGTGACTGATTATTAACAAAATTTCAGAGTGGCGCCAATGTGCACGTCTGACCTTTACTGGGTTGTTTGGAAGCCTCAGGCAGACAGACTTCAGCCAGGAGCAAGAAGAACCTCAGTGGGGAGCCAAGCATTCTTCTTTTAAGACAGCAACATCTCACTATGACACGAGGGGGCCAGCTTGTTGGGGTTTCTGTCCCGCCGGGTACCCCAACAAGCCAGCAAGCCCCAAGGAAAATCAATCACACAGAGATCTCTATAAGCTATAAAGCTGATTGGCTCATTAGGTCAGGCTACTTATTAGCTCTTATAACTTATGTTACCCCATTATCCTTATCTATGTTAGCCATAATAGCTCCGTACCTTTCTCAGCTGGGCAAGTTACATGCTGCCTCTTCGGTGGTCTGCACAGGAATGGCTGAGGAACTTCCCTGCTTCCCAGAATTCTCCTGTTCTCATTGCATCACCTCTACTTCCTGTCTTGTTTTCCCGCCTATACTGCCTGCCTGGCCAATCAGCGTTTTATTAAAATATGATTGACAGAACACAGACAATTCTCCCACATCATTTCCCTCTTTTTTTTTTTAAACAAAGGAAAATACCCATAGTCCATTTGTTGGGAATGTGGGCGTAGTATTTCAGGCTACTTCCTGCTGGTTGGGGGCGCTGATGATCTTATGGGGACCTAAAGAAAATTTAAAGTTATAAACAAGTCCTGACTGGAGTATCCTGTGAGTCTTGATCATCTCAGGCAGCAGTCTTGAATCTGTTCTGGATGTAGAACTCTGTCATCTGGGCCATCTGTTCCTACTGGAGATTGCTCAGGAGGTCTCCCTTGGCCAAAGATGATTTTTCTTAACTCTGAATAAATCCAGAGCCTCTCATTTTCTATGGAAACAAAAGCAAAATCTCTTCTCCAAAGTAACATACCTTTTGACTTCAATTTTGAAGCCAAGGTATTTTCAAAATACCTATCTTGGATTAGTTCAGCAGCATTTATAAACAAAAGTCCTTTAGCAGCTGTTGTTTCTGCCTCAGTATTCAAACAATTCAAAGAGAGCATAATAGCATACAGTATCAAGATTCTCTGTATATTTTCCATCTTTATTTTAACCTCTATTTCTTCCTATTTTTACTTTTACTTTTTGAGACTGGTTCTCTGTATATCTTTGTCCTGGAATAACTCTGTAGACCAGGCTGTCCTTGAACTCAGAGATCCTCCTGTCTCTGCCTCCCCAGTACTGGGATTAAAGGTGTATGCTACCACACCTTGAACTCAAGAGATCTCTGCCTCCCAGGCATTGGGATTAAAGGCGTGTACTACCACATCTTGAGGTCACAGAGGTCAATCTGCCTCTACCCCTTGAAGTCACAGAGGTCAATATGCCTCTGCCTCCCAGGCATTGGGATTAAAAGTGTGTACCACCACACCCTATTTCTCCCTTTCTTTCTTTTTTATTTTTAATGACTTTAACTTTTAGCCTCCATATATTTTTAACACACTGTAAACTCTTTAGAGGTTTTCTTCATCTTTGAACCTCTTTACTGTATCTCTCTCTCTTTTTTGACTACATGAGTCTTTAAGGAGAAGATTAATCCTCTCCTTTAAAGTCGTGGCTTTGATGGCTAGATCCAGTCCATTCCTTAGCTTTTCAGCCTTGTGGCTGAGATACCAGCCAGAGCTGTGTTCACTGCCACAACTCTATGGTTTTTCAAGGTCCTTGCTAGCAAGCAAGCTGTAGCATTCTGCTCACAGACCACACTCAGTCAGACTGCCTGCCTAAAAGAGTCAGAGTTTTCCCTGGCAGGACGGCCCAGAAAGCCGGCATTTTAAAACAGCACAGCTTTTTTCCTGCTCCGGCTGAAAACCGAAAAGCATGCGTTCAGCTTTTCATCAACACCGTTTAAGTGCTTCGCAGCAGGACCTTTTAAAAGAGCTGCAAGGTTTTGCAGCTAAAGCTGAGTCAGGAAGCCTCTCTTAGATGAGAGCACTTGCTTACCTCTAGCAAGCAGAGCAGACCTGAGAAATTGCTGCTACCAAGAAAACATGCTTTATTCTATTCTTTCCCAAGCTTTCTCAAGCTTTCTGTGGATTCAGTTATCCACGTGGGCGCCATATGTAACATGAGGGGGCCGGCTTGTTGGGGTTTCTGTCCCGCCGGGTACCCCAACAAGCCAGCAAGCCCCAAGGAAAATCAATCACACAGAGATCTCTATAAGCTATAAAGCTGATTGGCTCATTAGGTCAGGCTACTTATTAGCTCTTATAACTTATGTTACCCCATTATCCTTATCTATGTTAGCCATATCTCACCAAGCAAAACAAGTTCCCTAGGCAGAGAAACCTATGGAGGGGGTTGAGGGAGAAAGCAATGTCTCCCTTTGTTGCGCTCCTCAGCATGCACAGGTGGTTTCTTTTTGGTTTTTCGAGACAGGGTTTCTCTTTGTAACGGTCCTGGCTGTCCTGGAACTCACTTGGTGGACCTCGAACTCACAGGGATTCACCTGCCTCTGCCTCCCAAGTGCTGGGATTAAAGGCATCTGTCACCACCTGGCCCATGCAGGTGATTTCTAATGGCATCATGGAAGCATGATTCCGTAGTATACCTGTTTAAATGTACCTCAGAGTGCACATTTGTCCATATAACCTAGCTAACTCTCCACCTTACCCAGAATGCTGTGCTATGGAGCACTTTGTCTAGATTTGCCTTTCTGGACAGGCTGGACAATGGAACCAGCAGTACACATCTCAGCTTTTCCTCATAGCACTCAGAAATGTCGGAATTCCCTGTGTGTTATTGAGAACTTCCCTCTCTTGCTGCTTAACCAATGAGAATGTCTGTGCCTCAGTTGATTTGGAGGTTTTTGTAATGTTTGAACATGGAGGGTACCTTTTGTTGACACATTTTAATTTCTTACAGATATATATTTTTTTACAGATTTTTTTCTAGGAAAAAACTAGAATTTGGTGAATATATTGGTTCAGTTTTGCTTTTTCTGCATTTCGCATTAGTTTGCTTTTCTTAAATAAGCTAGTGGGAGGACTTGGAGGTAGCTGAAGAGTGAACCTGCTGGTTTCCAGGTGTTTCCTGGCTGATAAGCAGGTAGCAGTGCTTTAGGCCAGTTCCATCTGGTGATTTCAGTGATTTCAGTCGGCTTCAGCTTGGCGGAATCACCCACATCACACACTCACACAGATGCTTTGGAGTAGGTTCTCTTTATTAAGAATTTTTGCTTGTTTTTATTTTATTTTTATTTTTTTCAAGGCAGGGTTTCTCTTTGTAACAGCAGCTTTGGCTGTCCTTGAACTCACTCTGTAGACCAGGCTGGCCTTGAACTCACAGAGATCTGCCTACCTCTGCCTCCCAAGTGCTGAGAATAAAGGTATGTGGTACTATCACCTGGCTATTATTATTATTGTTGCTGTTTAGTTATTTCCCATCTAAATACAGTTCTGTGGGCCTTGGTGCACTGAACTGGTTCATCTATCACCATGGGATGATGGAAACATTCTAATGTGTCTCACTCAACAGGGCCCTCCCCCAGCAACTCTCCTCTTCCTGTCAGCCTCCACATCAGCCAGAAGACCTCTCTTCAACCTTTTGTCCTGGTGCCTGCCCAGGCATTCCATATGGGTGGCCTCACACAGACCTTTTGTGTCTGACTGCTTGACAGTCCTTTATTTGCCAGGGGCAGCAATACCACCATGTAGGTCAGAACTCTCTTCCTCTTCCTCTTCTTCCTTCTCCTCCTCCTTTTTTTAATGTATATGAGTGTTTTGCCTGCATGTGTGTCTGTGTACCACACCTGTGCCCGGTGTCCCAGGAAGCCAGTAGAAGGCATCAGATTCTCTGGGCCTGGGGATACAGAAGCTGCCATGTGGGTGCTGGGAATTAAACCAGGGTCCTTTGGAAGAGCAACAGAGCGTAACCACTGAGCCATATCTCGGGACATCCCCTCTTTCCGTCTTTTAAACTGTAATAGTTAGCTTTAAATGTTTTTATTCTATTTATTTTTCTTGGGGTCAAGGATACACAAAAGTCAGCGAACAACCTGTGGGAGTCAGTTCTCTCTTTCTAATGATGTGGGATCTGGAAATCAATTCAGGCTGTCAGGCTTGTTGGTTAAATGCCTTTACTTACTGAGCCTTCTCACCCGCCACTGCCCAGAGCTGTGTTTGCTAATAAATCATTTCTCTTTTTCCTTCAGAACCCCAAAATTCTTCTCCTTGATGAAGCAACCAGGTGAGGGTATCTCCGTGCTATGTGTAATCATGTTAGAGTGTCTAAAATGTGGATCCATGTTGGAGGGTGTCTCTAGCGATGTGTGTGTCCAGTAGGGAGTATCTCAGTAATGTATGGAGCTCTGACCTCTCTGCTTCCTCTTGTGTGTGACCTTGTCTGTTGCAGTGCACTGGATGCTGAGAACGAGTATCTGGTACAGGAAGCACTTGACCGGCTGATGGAAGGAAGGACAGTGTTGATCATAGCTCACCGCCTGTCCACCATTAAGAATGCCAATTTTGTTGCCGTCCTTGACCAAGGAAAAATCAGTGAACATGGGACACACGAAGAGCTGCTTTTGAAGCCCAATGGGCTTTACAGAAAACTAATGAACAAACAGAGTTTTATGTCAGTATAATGAAGCAGTCCCAGAGCTGCCACAGGCTCAGCCTGTAATCCCAGCTATCGATAAACTGAAGCAGAAGGATGGTGAAGACATCGTCGCGTCCATAGCAAGACCCTGTCTGAAAACAAACAAAAACAAAGCTGTCGTTACTGGTGGGTTGTCTGAGAGACTTTTAAAACCAAACAGCATTAGAGAAAACAGAGCTTAGGACTGTATGAAACCTGTGGTTCATACTTCAGTGATTCATACATTCAGTGGTTCATACATTCAGTGAGACATCCCTATTTTCACAAAGAATGTAAAATATTGTTTTAACATGCACCTGTCCTCTCAGACCTTCTTACTCAGTTTTAAAGTTGTAACTTTCTAAATGTCTGAAGCCTGGAGGTTACTGCAGGTCTTGGAATGTTTGCTAGCTTGGCACAGCACCTCATTTCCTTTGTCTCTGCTAGAGTCAACCTGTTGTCAGGTGGTGGCTTTTAAAAGGGAACTATAAACTAAAGGCATGCCTACTTGAAGCTAGGTTGCTAATCACTGGACTCCTACCTGGGGCCACTGAAGGAGAGCTTGCCCTGTCTGATCCCCCACATCTCAGGGGACAGAGCTCTGGACACCATAAGCTGCAACTGTCAGGGTGTGCAGTGCACAGCACTGGGGCATGTGAGAGCCTGATGCGTTTGCCAAAGGAAGAAGTCCTATTCTGTAAACAGGAAAGCCTCTATTTTTTTATTCACCTTATTTTCTGACTCCTTTTGAAAAGCAAGGTACCAATGACC